ATTTGGAATAAAGGGCTCTAGCTAATACATGTTTAACATCACTGTATTAGTGTATTGTTCTTTGAACCAACGAAGCTAACTTACAAAGTTTTGGGACATATATATCTATTCCTCAGTTCTCTTCTTGTTGACGGATATCAATCCTGTTTCCTACAAACAATGAACAAACACACAGACAGACACAAAATAAAAGCAAATCAAAGTTAAAATCTTGAGGAAACATGAAGCAGAAACCACCATGAATAGGAAAACCAAAATCACCTGAGGATTAGAAGCTGCTGCAAGAGCCGATCTTTTCTGCAAAACAGATACAGAATCCCTTTATTCCAATAAGAATTGATCGAAATTAGAATTCCAATAAGAATTGATCGAAATTAGAATTCCAATAAGAGTAAGGATCAAAAGCACACCTGTTGTTCCTTCTTAAGATCCTGAGAGGGTTTTACCCACAGAAAATAGGCGAAGGTTCCAGCAACGACCCACGAAGCGAGGTTGGTTCCTCCTTTGAGCCCTCCCATTGCATTCCCCATGAACGACCTTACGTTTCTCTTCCAATTGCTTGCCATTTGAACCCAAAATTTTATGAACCCTTTTGCAGAAGAAAACTAGGGTTTTCGGTTTGGCTCACCAATTCAACTCAACTGCTACAGTCACTGTGTCTGTGGATTACACAGCCGCAAAGGCGACGAGGTGATCGAAGAAGCAGGACGTGACTGCACCAAGTACAATTTCCGATGGCGTTCAGGTGGAGTGACCCTTCCTCCTCCTCTTCTTCTTCTTCTTCTTCTTCTTCTTCTTCGGTGCGTGGGTTCGATTTGGGCCGACATTGCATCAAATCACAGCTTCACATCCGCATCAGTGGAAGGAATTCAAGAAAGAAAGGAATATGTGTATTACTTTATGCCCCCCCGACTTTATGTTGCACTAACGCTTTTACCCTCAACCTTCCTTTTCTCACAATTCACACTTGGATGTAAGGGGATTACGAAAAATCAAGACGTCCTAATGTGTCAGAACTCTTTATGAAATTATTTAAATATTTTAATGAATATTTATTGTATATTTATTTATTAAGGTATTTGTTTAAATAATTTCATAAGGAATTTTGGTATATTTGTTTTTTTATTAATATGGACTATTTAATGGGAGAGAGCTTACAATATCGAAAGATTCTCTACTTATGAAAGAATTATTGTTTTATAATTTAAATAACTCAAATTGTAAAATATATTTTTGTTTTTACATTGTTATTTTTACAGTAATTATTATTAAATTAATTCAAAATGGATGGTAATTAAACACCTTGTGGAGTGGACTTTGTAGCAACCCTGCTCTCTCTTATCCAAAAAGATCATTTTAAATTAATTTACCCTTAAAACAATTTTGAACAATTTTAAAAGTGTTCCCATGTTGGATTAGTGTGTTAAAAAAAAATAAACTTCTTTTAATAATCTTTCTCAAAATTCCACAAGTTTAAGCCGTGGTAGTATTGTATTGTTAGACAACACAGCAACTGGCATGGTTACTAAGAGTGCGAGTTTCAGATATTTAACTAAATAAAGATGGTGAAACTTAACACTTCATAAATAAAAATATACATAAAGCATAGAGGTGAGGCAATTACAGACCAAATCCTAAGAAGAAGAAAAAGACAAAGATGAAGACAACAAATGCTTTGGTCCCAAACCACAAGCACATGATGATAGACACGCAACCAACAAAGAGAGAGAGAGAGAAAGGAAAAGCACATAAGGTAAGACCATACACTTAGAGTACAGCTGCATCTTCAATCAGCAATCTTTACAGCTGAATTAGCCAAGCAATTCACATGGGAAACAGGGAGGCTGTCTTTTCAACTTGCCGACCCCATCTTCCGTCTTTGCTCTCCACCTCTTGTTAATTATTATTTCTAATTCATTTAAATTGATGCAATGGGACCGCATCATGCAGACACCTTGGATACATCTTTGCTGGATCTATTGTATTTCATGTGGCTACTAACAAGTTGACCTGCTGCGATGGCAGACATCAAGGACAGTTCCCCAGCTAGAACTGAACCGGCTACAATGGAGGCTAAGAGCCTTGAGTTTGAACCGGGCAAGTCTTTGCTAGCACCCTTCACCCCGAGCAGATTTAAACAAGCAGATTGAGATGCAAGTTGAGTCCCACCACCAACAGTGCCCACCTGAGAGGAACAAAAAAATCATAATTAGCTACATCATGAACTTTTATGATCCACCAGGGTGAAAAACCAATGACTGAAATGAGAGTCGAGTTACCTCAATGGAAGGCATAGAGACAGAGATGTGGAGATCCTTTCCATCATTCACAGCTTCCATCATGGTAATACACTGGGAACTCTCAACATTTTGCGCCGGGTCCTGGCCAGTTGCAATAAAGACTGCAGTGACAATGTTGCCAGCATGGGCATTAAATCCACCAAGAGCACCGGCAACAGCTGAACCTGCAAGATTCTTGAGCATGTTGAGCTCAACAAGTGCAGCAACGCTGGTTTTCAAAACGTTTTTCACCACCTCTTCCCTAATGATTGCCTCACACACCACTGATTTTCCTCGCCCTTCAATCCAGTTTACTGCAGCAGCTTTCTTGTCTGAACAGAAGTTTCCTGCAAACAGAGCAAAACATAAGAACAACAAAATTAAAACTAAGCATTGCTATTTACGTAGAAGATGACACTGTACAGAATTTCTCACAGAAATGTACAGAATTAGCTCCATAAGGAACTTAAATGAACATATATCCAAAGAAAAAAAAGGGGATGGTAACAAAAAAAAAAAATTCCTTAAAAATAAACACTCATGACTTTACTAACAAAGTGAAATGTGTAATTGAATTCTGTTTCTTTTTTTCAGTCAGTGGGGGCTGTGGATGAGGGTTGAGGGGACTGACATTCAGATATTCAGTTGATAGAACATCATCCACAATCAGGGGATAGAATACAGCAATAACTAATCATGGCTTCCTTGACATTAAATCTTCAAAATTCTACTTCCCAAAATAATAGAGGAAAGATTCACATCACTAATTTAAACTTTTGAATGGAAAAATAGACCACCAGGTCAACAAGAAGATGGTTGGACAAAAAAAAAGAGATCCACAAGATTGGTATCAGAAGTGATAGAGGTGCCTTTTTAAAGAATAAATCAAACATATTACAACTGGAGTATGACGATGTCAGTGATGAATTCAAAGCAGTCTCAGTGCCAAGAAATCAAGATCATTTGAAATTGAGAAACATGTCAAACTGATAGTTCAAAAGAGGTAAATCAATTACTATACAAAAAGTACAGCAACAAAAAAAGTGAAAATTCTAAAGTGATAATAAACCCAGCTTAAAAAATTTATGAAAGAAAATAGAAATAAGCAACCTACCCGAGATGCCAATAACATCCATGTCAGGAAAATCATTTCTTCGCAGGAATTCAAGGGTATTGTCAACCCCTTTCGACACCATGTTCATCCCCATTGCATCCCCTGTACTACAGGTAAATCGTATGTACAAATTCTTCCCAGCAATTGAGCATTGAATGCCTTGGAGCCTAGCAAATCTACTTGACCTGGTAACCAATAGAGCATATATTACAAATTAAAACACTAAGAAACTGATCCTCTTTTTCAATTTTTACCCAGAAAAAAAAATAGAAGTTCAGAGTCAATGTTAGTATCAATTTTCTTCCAAGAGAAAAAAAAAAAAAAACACTGAAAAATACTAGCTAGCTACCGGAAGCAATAAGGAAAGGATTCAATTCAACAACTGTAATATCCATCAACATCAGAGTCGTCACTAATCAGAATTCAGAAAGTATCAAGCCAAAAAACCCACGCAATAAATACTGAAAAGTGAAAGTATCGAACTTGATGTTATCGAAAAACCTACGGCAAAGACTTGAGCTTTGATATATTTACTTGTTAAAAACGACAGCAAGTGTATCAAAATTCTCAGGATTCTCCAAGAAGAACTTCAACTCCGCCGCTCTCCTGGCTGACGCGAATCTCACAACAGGTGCTCTTGCCATCCCGTCCCTCAAGATCATGCTCGTTGCCCCACCTGAAACATAGATGGCCTTGCATCCTCTGTTGGCGCTGGCAACCAAACAACCCTCGGTAGTTGCCATCGGAACAGAGTACTCAAAACCATCCAGAAGCAATGGCCCGGCAATCCCCACCGGAATCTGGACGTATCCCACCGGCATTTCGCAGCACTGCCCCAGAATAGACTCGTAGTCGAATCCCTCAAGAGGCAGTCCCTGCAGTGACCTCCCCGTCATCCTCTGCAACGCTTCTCTTCGAATCGCAGCCGCTCTCTTGCAGTCCCCCAGTTTCTTTTCAAGTGAGTAGGACGGAAGCTTTCTATTTATAACAGATTCGACTATCTCTTCATCTTCCGCTGAGGAAATAGCAGAATCAAAAGAGTCAGGCTGGATCAATCTGGGGGCAGGAGGGCACGTGACGAGGCGGTGGTCGTGGAAGTTCGGTTGAGGTGGCTCTACGACGTCATCTTCAAGGTCCCATGCGTCATGAGAGGCGCGTAAGATGAAGGACTGGACAAAGTCAATGCCGAAGAAGCCGAGAAGGTAGATGAAGGAGGCGATGAGGGAGACAATGGCAGCGATCTCGGAGAGCGTGACGACGTGGAGCGGCGTTGAGTTACGGATCTTGTCGCGCCAGCGGTGAAGGAGGTAGTAGGCGACGGAAAAGAAGAGAGTAAAGAAAATGGCGTTGGTGAGGTAAAGAGGAAGCGGAAGCGCGTCGGATGCCTTGGGACTCTGTGACGCAGACCTCTGATCGACGCCAGGCGATTGCTCCATCTGCTGCCCGTGAGAGTTTCCGCCGTGGGTGGTGGCGGATGTGCGAGGTGGCCTGGGAGATCGCCGGCGGACGTCCATCTGAGATGCTCCGGCTAGAACAAGGTCTTGGGTTTGGGTTAAATATAATATAAGGAGGCAAAAACAGAGGAGAAATGCGTACCAACGGAACGCCATTTGGGGAGCTTTTATAGATGGAGGCCCGGCAAAATGCTGACACGTGTGGCGTGCGTATTTTGACTCTAACAAGTCCGTGACAGTTACTTTTGGGCCCACTTGGCACGTGTAAACTGTCTTATTTTTATTTTATTATAAACTTTTATAAAATAATAAAAAAAATATTATTTTTAATATTAATATTGCTCAACTCGAACCCTACCAAGTGGCTTAATAGTTGCGTACCTCATTAAAGTAGGTGGTTATTCATTAAATTTGAAAATTGAATCTCTAACCGTTAATATTTGACAATACTAACTTATTAATTATTGTCCTTATAAAAAAAATATTACTTAACTCATTTTAATTAAATAATTAATAAATTTAAAATTAATTTTTTTTATATATTTTTTGAATTAATTTAAATTATTTACATATATTAAAAAATAATAATAATCCACGAAGTTCACCTGTGGAAGATAAATGATTTTAATCCAAAATTCATGTCATTTCATTCTAGGGAGCTGGCTGATCAATTTTTATTTATTTTTATATAACTTAATTATAAAAGGATATAATTTAATGTTTTCTTTAATTGCTCCTGGATATGACAAACCCTTATTTATATACTTCCCATGCTAAATGGTTGGTGGGTGTGGTTATTATCACTTAATTTTATTTAATTTTATGATTAAAAATATTTAATAGGTTTTAAAATAATTTTTATTTATTATTTAACAAATTAAAATTAATTTATAAACTATTAATAACTTTAGATATCATAATTAGTTTTTTGTTTTAATAGGAGGAATTTTCAAAGAAGAAAGAAATATTACAATTGTTTCAATAAAAATTTGAATTTTGATATAAGTTAAGGTGTTTGATATATATTACTAGCTCACTAAGGATAGCTACTACAAATATCATAATTAGTTGTTTAAGAAAAAAATTATAAATAAATAAAATATTAATTAAAGTAAATAATTTTTTAATAATCTTAATAAAATGTTAAGTGACAATAATTACACTCATCTCAAATAGATATTGTTTCTTATTTTGAATTTATTTTGCGAAGTAAATAAATATAAGAAAAAGTAAAATTTTGTGACGTTATAACATTTAAAATGTCAAAAAAAATTTAGTCAGGGGGAGCTAAGAATTTTAGTCAGGGGGTCAGCTTTCCAAATTTTAAAATAATGTATTGTAATCTTGAAAACTTACTTTTATATCATATATTAAAATAATACTTGTTGAGTCTTTATTTCACAAAATCTATTGATAATATTATCTATATTAAATGACTAAACTATTTCCTTTTTAATATAAATAATCAAAGAGTTTGAAAGAGATTCATCATCTATTTTGCTGTGAAGACTCGTTTTAACAATTTTCATGGTAGAAAATACTTTTTCTGTTATTACTGTATAAACTGGAAAAGTAAACATCAAGGTAATTAACTTGTAAATAAGACTATAAATCTCTGATTTTCTTGTTTTCACAAGCCATTGACATAGTTCAGAAATACAACAATATCTTATCCCTTCACCCTACCACTTTCTACAAGCAAATAAATTTTTTTCTTTTTTACAAGTTAATTACACTTTATACGAGTTTATCTTCCTTTTATACTAATTTACATTCCTATTGCTTTTCTCTATATGACTATATCTAAGGTTTTTCTTTTATTGGATTCATATCTGTTCCTTTTATGGATTTATACATTCTTTCTTTCTTTTTTTCAATTTTTTTATTCCGATCTAATTCTATTCCATATAACTTCAATATTACCACAATATTCAATTTTATTTGTAATCTCAACAACTCTAAATCCTAAAAGGAAATTATTTAATTTTTTGTGATAATAAAAAATCAATAAGTTTCATTATTTAGATATTACTTCCTCCATGTTAGAATAATAGATTTTTTTTGTTTTATCTTCAAATGAAAGATTTGAAAATAATTTTTATCTGTACTTATTTTATACTTAAAAAATAAATAAGAATAAATATCTACTTCTATCATATTATAAATAATTAAAATTAAGAGATAATTATAAGATTAAAGTAGAAAAAAACTATTTATCTTCCTCAAAATAAAAATAAAAATGACTATTATTCTGGGATAAATTCTAAATAAAAAATATTAATTATTTTAGGATAGAGAGATTATACTATTTTGTTTTTTGGTTAGATCATATCTACTAACAAGTATAAAACAAAATTTTAAAATAAAATAGAATAAACTCACAAAATTTGAAGTTGAAACCCAATATGGCAATATATGATTTATATAAAAAGAGATAGTATTGTTTTTAGTCTTTACCAAGAAGTTAGTGGTCCCTTTGGTGATCCCTTAATTTCTCTTCAAGCTTTCAATGAGG